CCCGGCGGTGGATAGCAGTCGTCTGCAGCAACAGCAGTAACTAGTCGGCGTTTTCATGAATTGGCTCGTCGCGCAAACGCGCCCATGCGACAGCATCTCATACTGTTCATATCGAGTTCGGGGTTCGCGCCGGGATGATGCGGAGGGTTGCGAGGCTTCATCTCCCTCTCCCTCTCTCTCTCTCTTTCTCTTATTTGTGTTGCTTCTCTCTCTCTCTCTTTCTCTCTCTCTTGGTCTCCCTTAAGCAGGCGTTTGCATCTTCTCGTCCCGCGGTAAGCTTTTAGAGTGAATTTTCCAGGTGCGCGGTCCCCAAATCGGGGAGACAACGCGTCTGGCACTCTGTTGAGAGCCATGGGGTTTAACATCCATGAGGCTTTATAGCCATGAGGCTTGACAACCATGAACCATGAGACAGACTTAGCGCGATAGAGCCAAGAGTCCAACATGCTTTTTGCTACCGCCGGATCGCCTTGAGGGGTCTCCTCATCCTTCTCTTCATCGTCCATTTCGTGTTCCTCCTCCTCCTCCTCCTCCGTAGCCGCTTCCGTAGCCTTTGGTTTTCAGGCGCTTTTCAACAACAACTTCCCCGCAGCAGTTTTGGCCGAAATTGTTGCGACTCTTGGGCCAGCGACCAGCAAGGACCAAGGACCACGGCAGCGTTTTATGCCTTCTCTCCCTCTGCTTGTGTGACCTTTCGGAGCAGCCATGATTCGCGCGCGGTCGCGGAAGACCAATGCTGGCAGTCCGTTGCTCGCCCAAACGTTCGACCGCCCAACTCAGGGCGTGGCCTCGGCAGCGAAGCCATTGTGCCTCTTCACGCTGACGCGTGGGCGCGCCCGCGGCACGAATTCGCCCGTGGGGTGGGCCGAGAAGTTGCGTGGAGAGCGTCCAGGCATTCGTGCAGGAGCTCTGCACCGATGAACAGGCGTGCCAGGATGCCGTTTCCGCTCTCCCTGGGTCGCGTGTCTAGAGTATTGCCGTGGGACGTCATTTGTTGCATCGCGGTCATTTTAACAATTGCGCGACAAACTTTGGGCACCCTAGGCCAGAAACACTTTTGGTAACCTCCGACAGGGTGAAATGGCTGGCACCTCGTCCTGCTCTTGCTCGGAGAGCGGCTGCGACGACTTTGTGGACGTGCGGGCACCGGTGGAAGCACTGGTCGACTTCCACCATCTTGGGGATGCCGCGGCCGGCGTTTGGGGAGAGCGCGCCGAGTCGCCAAGGTTTGGGCCCCGCGAGCGGCCCCGAACCCGTGTGTCTTCTGGTCTCCGCCTCCCCCGTCGTCGCCGACGTCGAGTCTATCTTCCCGCGCGCATATGCACTGCGAGCGGAACGTCGAGAGCACCCGGGAGAGGCCTGTTTGCCAGCTTCGTCGAGGCGCTGGAGGACGAGCTCGAGCACCTCCCCACCAGGGCCCCTCACGACCGCTCCCCCCCGCGCCAGCACGACGAGACCGGCCCGTCGGAGCCCACGGGCAGCGACGAGCCCTTGAAGCCCGGCCCCTGTGCCGCCCAATGGAGAACAATTGCGTGCGGGTATCCACAGACGGGGCTGATGTCGTCGCGCGGATGTGGGAGTGCGGGCTCCGAGCCCGAGGCAACGGCCTCCCTCCCCATGGTTGTCGAGAGTCCGTCCTTCGTCCTCATGTGTTCTGCGCTTGTATTGTGACCCTTGGCGCTCCATCCTCCATCCACATGGGTGCCGTCCTGCAGGTGCTGAGGATGCGTCCCCAATGGGTCCGTTGCATGCAGATCAATATCGATTACTCGTCCGACTGGGGGGGGGGAGACGGGGACGGTCACGGGCGTTATCGCGAATAACAGAACAATTCTCGTGCGCAGACAACTTCGCGTCGCACTTCGCGCAGCGCGAAGTGCGAACGTTGGTTCCCACTGATGCGGTGCGTCGTCCAGCCTCGGCCTCCCCTGGCCGCCGTCGCCGTCGTCGTCGTCGTCGCCGTCCGTCCTACGTGTGCCGCTGGACACCTTGGAAAGCATCTTTCGAGGGCCGCTGGCGCCCGCTCGTCGGCCGCAGGGGACGGCCCCTCCATGGTACGGGCCTGGACGTCGTCTTTGTCCTCGTTGTGGTCGTTGTCCGCCGCCTCTTCCTGTTCCTCCTCCTAATCATTTCGTCGTCCTCCTCATCCTTCTCGTCCTGCTCCTCATCCTCCTCCTCCCACCCACCCCCGCGCGCTCTGCTCCTGGAGCAGGGGGAGGAGGACGAGGAGGAAGAGGAGCACGAAGAGAAGGTGGAGGAGGAGAATGGGGAGGGATATAGTTAGAGGGAGGCGGGGGGAGCGGTGCAGGGAGAGGAGGTTTGTGACAAGGTAGGTGCGATCGCGCCACATCTGACATCCTATCCCTCCCCCCATCCCTCCCCGTTGCGCAGATTGGCTCCGTATCCGCGGACTTGTGTCATAGCCCCCTCTCCTCCCCTCCCTCCCTCCCGGCGCGCCCGACCCTCCCGCCCCCCCTCGTGGCCCTGCCCTGCGTGCGGCCCCCCCCCCAAGGGCTGCGCGCCGGGTGGTCCCCCTCCCAGCCCTCACTGGGCCGCCACCGCCCCGTCGCTCTTGCGGCTGGGCCCGCCGCCGCCTGGCTGACCCTGCGGTCGGGCGGCTTCCGCTCCGCCCAGCAGTGATGCGTGCGCCGGCCTGGCCCAGCGGTTTTCCTCCCTCCCGCCTCCTCCCGCGCCGCCCCCCTTAGGCTGCCCGGGCCGCCGCCGGGCGCATCCAGCTGCCAGCTGGCGTTCAGCCCCTGCTGCACAGCCTCAGCAGTTCAGCATCCTGCGGTTTCGTCCGGCAGCAAGTTGTTGCAGCCCACGTGCAATGGCGCAGCCCCTCGCGCGCTCGTTGTACTGCCATTCGGACCGTGTTCCTGCATCCTGCTGGCGCCGTTCCTCTGCAGCAAAGCCTGACGTTTCGGCAACGTGGTGGACATTCGGACGCCCCCGCGCCTGCCGCAGTGGGTCCTCTTCATGCCGTTCTCCCTGGCGAACTGGTTCACCTTGCTCATCACGCTTCCTGTGCCTGCAGCCCTGGCTTCGGTCCCTAGGTGTGGTCGTGACGCCGCCCCGCGCCCATTGCCAGGACACTTCAGCCCCGGCTGGCCGCACCGGCGCGCTCATCTGAGAATTCTTTCCGCGGTGCGTGCCCTCCCCTCCCTCCGGTCCTTCGCGGCCGCTCCTTCCCGCCTGGTTTTTCTCTTGCAGCCAGACACTTCGTATGCTGAGCGCCCCCGCCTGCACGAGCGCATGTGCGGATTGCCTCTGCCGCGCTGCGATGTAAAAAGTGCCATGGCCGACCTGGAACTCCCACGAAAGACTCCATCGTGTTATGTAAAACCGAGGAAAAAAGGTGAGCTGCGTATATTGGAGGAGGAGGAGGAGGAGGAGGAAGAGGAAGAGGAAGAGGAAGAGGAAGAGGAGGAGGAGGAGGAGGATGAGGAGGAGGAGGAGGAGGAGCAGGAGGAGGAGGAGGAGGAGGAGGAGGAGGAGGAGTTGGCGGGTGAGTACAAGGAAAAGCGCGAGGAGGAAACATATGATAATGTGGACGGAGGAGGACGAGGACGAACAGCAGCAGCGGCAGCAGCAGCAGGAATTGGAGTGGCAAGAGCGGGAGGATTACGGGAAGGCAAAGCAGGGAAATGAGGGGGCGACAACGATGAAAAAGGATTCGGATCCAGAAACACTGCCTGCGCTGGGGCACGAGCACCTTTCCGAACGACAGGGGCGAAGCGCCGATCCAAAAATGCGGCCCACGGGGCAATGGGAACACCAGTTTTACACACCGAAAGCTATAGGATGGTAACAGCACGTACTGAATATCATGTTTGGGAGATTTGTTTGTACAAGGCCGTGCGCGCAGAGAGCCGGACATCTTCCGGACAGAGTCAGGGAAAATAGGAAAGTAGTATTCTGATCATGTAAATGTGGAGGAGGATCCAGAGAAGTAGAGTGAGGCGGAGGCACCAGGATGTTGTGTTGGTATCCCGCGAAACTGCGCAGGGCGCCCAGCTGGCCGCCCACAGTGCTTCCAAGAGCACTCGGTTTGCCTCTGACCTTCGTGCTCGAGGTTATTACTTCAGGAAACTTCTCCTCTTCTTCAGCCTTCTCCCCCTAAGGGTGCTTCCTGCTCCTTTTCCTCATCCTGATCGTTTCATTGTTGGTTTCCTTTTCCTCCTTTTCGGAGAAGGAGGAGGGGAAGGCGTCTTCCAGTTGAAGATCCTAAGTTGACTGCTTGGGACCATGTGGCGCCAGCACGAATCGCCCGCCCAGTAGACACGTAGAGCTAGAGTGTCACGAGAAGCCCTCTCTCAGGATTCATTGGGCTAGGCATGCCTTGGTGGGTCACATGTCGTGGCTCGTTCATCTGCAGCGGCATCTCGGTCGCATTTCTGGCCAGATTTTCATGAGCGGGGATTGTCATGGATCCGGTGTCATAGTAAGGTTTGGCTCTCGCATGCCATTCAGTCATCTAAGACGTTGCCAGGTTTCCATGAGACAAGATCACCCGCTGGAATCGTACCGGATGGACTAGCTGTTTTTTTCCTCAGGGGCCCAGTGACCCCAGGTTTTAAAGGATTTGGTCAGTAGAATTCTGGATCTTGTAGGTCGTGAGCGTGTGTTTTTCCAGTCTTCTGCGTTTCTGTCTCAAGCAGGGTCCCACGGAATCGCTTGGGGATGCGCTTCATCATCACCACCATTGGAGGAGGATGTCACGTAATGTCGTGCAATCTGGAGCTCCCAGGTACCCTGGTCGGGACCAGAGTGTGGGCCCAGGTCGCAGCGGAGTCTCCCTGGCCCCGTCCCCCAGAAGCGTCGCCCGAACTTGTCCCGTCCCAGGCAGAATTGCCGCCCAGGTGGGCAGGCGGCGTCTCGCCGTCTGGACCTCTCGGCGGTGCGGTTTGACTTGCTTCGAGAATCTGGTCACAGTTCTGCCCGGAAGGGATTCTGAGCGGATTCCGGTGCCAACAGTTCTGAGTGATTTTGGGTCCATGCAGGCAGAAGGCACTTGCCAGAAGTGTGGCGGCACCTGCGGGAGTTCGGGATCGCTCCGGACATGTTCCTGCTAGACGCGTGGCTGACGCTCTTCTCCAGGTCATCGGGCTTGCCCCACCGAGGAGAACGAGGATGGGAAGGGTGAGGAAGCAAATGCTGGCTATTCAGACTGAATCCAGATTGGCGAAACGTTATCACCGAGCTTCCCTCAAGTAGTAACAACCCTGGGATTTAGAGGGCAAATATATCTGCACAATGACATGTGCTGAACTACCCGTTCTCTCAACAACGCTGAATTCGAGCGGAGCGATGAGCGGTTCTGGGCCTCAGCCTCGAACTCCTCACAACACAATTCTGGTGATGATGCTGATGATGGTGACGCTGATTCTGATAGTGATCTCTGAACAGATGCTGATGATGATGATCATGATGTTGTTTGTGGTGGTGGGGATGATGATGATGCTGATGATGATGATGAGATGGTAGTGGTGGTGATGATGATGATAATGGCGGTGATGATGGTGGTGATGATGAGGAGGAGGAGGGTGGTGACGGTGATGGTGATGATGCTGCTGATGATGATGGTGATGTTGTTGATGATGATGATGATGGTTATGGTAATGGTGATGATGGTGATGGTGATGGTGGCGGCGATCGTGGTGATGATGATGATCATGATGCTGGTAGTGGCCTTGGTGATGGTGATGATGATGCTGATGGTGGTTATGATGACGATGATGATGATGGTGATGATGACGATGGCGATGACGATGTTGATTATGAGGATGATGCTGCTGGTGATGATTAGTATCATGATGGTGGCGATGGTGATGATGATGCTGATGATGCTGGTGCTCATGATGGTAATGGTGATGGTGGCGGTGATGATGCTAATGATGATGATGATGATGATGATGATGATGATGATGATGATGATGATGATGATGAGGATGAGGATGAGGATGAGGATGAGGATGAGGATGAGGATGATGATGATGGCGATGCTCATATTGATGATGTTGATGCTGATGCTGGTGGTGGTGATGGTGATGGTGACGGTGATGGAGATGGTGATGGTGATGGAAAATGATGATGTCACCGACGCCCAGGCAACCGTCGTGCTTTCTGATTCTTATTCGCTGCCCGGTGGATTCAAGAGGCTTGCAGCTTGCGCCATTCCGCTGGCCCAAGAAGAGGAGTTATGCGGCGTCCGATATCGTATGTGTTTGCCGGTTCGCGTCGTGCTGCCTGCGTGTAGTTGTTGCCGATTCGTCCTCCTATTCCTCCGAGTCTGTTGCGGGGCTTCTTCAGGGTCTCTTAGAGGCCTAGGGGGCGGCCCCATCGGAGCCTTTTCAAGGCACCTGGAGGCTTTGGGGGCCCCCCTGGGTCTTCTTGGGGGACTTCGTGGGGGCATCTTGAAGGCATCTTGGGGGTCTTGGGGGCCATCTTGCGGGGGAGGACCCGGAGTCTCCGCGAGTTCCCCATCTTTGGCCTCTCTTGGATCCCTCTTGGAGCTCCCTTGAGCGCCTTTTTGGCTCTCCTGAGGACCTCTGCGTTGCGTCGTGGCCTGGCAGCGCGAAGGCGGCTGGGGACAGCCAGCAGAGGCTTATCTCCTTGTCGGTCCTGGGTCAGGGACGGTCAGCAGAGGCTTATCTCCTTGTCGGTCTTGGGTCAGGGACGGTCAGCAGAGGCTTATCTCCTTGTCGGTCCTGGGTCAGGGGCTGCGGTCCGCAGGCCGGAGGAGGGCCTCGCATCGCGTCCTCGTCCCCCTTCAGAAGTTCTGAGATTTCCAGGGCAGTTCCAGTGAGGGCCTCTTCGGCCGTCTTAGAGCACTCTTAGACTGTCTCCAGGCCCTCATCGCATCGCGGCGTCTTGGGCCAGTCTGGGGGGTCCTCTCGGGCCGTCTTGGATTTTCAGAAGCCCGAATGGGCAAGAACGCGAAACTCGTTTGATTATTGATACTTCGCGTATCCTCACCAGCCTTTAAGGTCGATGGACTCGTGGTCCTCCCCTTCCGCGCCCGCTCATCCCCGTCAGTCCTCAGGCTGGGCCCTCTAGCCACCCTGGCGGCGCGTGCCGCTCGCACCCGCCCTGGCGGCACCCCCGACATCTTCCCGGTGTCTGGCGATCCGGACTTGCTCCGTGGAGCGCCCGCCTGTCTCGATGTCCTCAGAGGCGTACGACCCTGCCGTCACTCGTCCCGCGGTCCTTCGGCTCCGCTCTGGGCTCGCTGTTTGTCGTGGTGACGGCTTCTCTCGTCGTTAACGTGGTGTTGGCCAACCCGAATCCCAACATTTTGGTGCTGCGCGTCGCCCGGAAGGACTTCCTGGTGTGCGCCCTCCTGTGAGCGGCAGCGAGGCTCGCCTCCTGTTTGCCTCCCTCCCCGCTTAGTCTTGTCTCTCTTTTCGCCCCTCCCTCTTCCTGCGCGCGAATTTCGGCCGTTGCCCGCGTGCATCGTTCCTGGACGCCGCCCGACCTTTTCGCCGCGGTCGCGATCAAGAAGTATCCTCACCAGCCCATCCAAACACAGACATCAGACGAGCTGTCCTGATCAGGGATGTGTAGCAGCATGCGGCTTGGCAGTGAACCGCGTCCGTCCTTGCATATATTTCGAAGGATCATGAGGAAGAGGAAGAAGAGGGAGAGGAGGCGGTGGAGGAGGAAGAGGAGGATGAGGAGAAGCAGCTGGAGGACGACAGGCAACCACTCAACCAAGGCAGCCGCCGGATCTTTCGTTCTGGGAGCATATTGGAGGCCTCTTGGGGCTATCGTGGGGCGCTTTTGGGGCCCTTTTGGAGGCATCCTGGGCCCTCTTGGGGATCTCGTGGGTCCTCTGGGGGTTCACTTGGCTTGGGGATATATTGGGGCCCTTTTGGGGCTCACTTGGGGTTCACTTGGGGCCCTCTTGGAGCCATCTTGGAAGCCATCGGTCAAAGGAGGGGGGGGTACGCAAATACGGTTCCCCCGCTTGGGCCCGAACAGTTGCCTCTTGGGGCCTCCTTGGGGCGTGTTTGCGTGTTGTTGGGGCCTTTTCTGGGCTGTTCTTTGGGCCCTCGTGGGCCATACTGGGGCCATTTCGAGGCCCCAGAAATCCATCGGAAAAGGAAATCGAGAAGGCAAAACACATGGAAAACAACATAGCGGTTTTGATGGGTTTGGCTTTCAAACAGCACTTTGGGTGACTCGGAGGGCACTCGGGGCCGTCCTGGGGCGGCCTTCAGGGCTATTGGATGTATGCCGGAGGCTACGTTGAACCATCTTGGGATACCTTGAACGATCTTGGAGGTCATCTTGGGCTTCTTGGGGCCTTATGGAAGCCACCTGGGGCCAAACATGACTTTCTAACATCTCGCGGGAGGAGGATTCCAGACCCAGGGGTGGGATAGGGGGAGGGGGGCCCGTCCCTCGTTGGACCACTCATGTCCTGAAGGGCTGGTGCGATGATCCTGGACCAGCTGCAGCTCTAAGTACCGCAGTGGGGAGCACCATCCTCGATGGAGCTCCCTTTGGGGCGCCACGAATCGCGTGAGGGGTGTGAGTGGGGCCTTTGGTGGAGCTCCCTATGGGGCCACGAAGCGTATGAGGTGTGTGTGTGTGTGTGTGCCGAAACGGGCGCGGGGACGCATGCGGCCGTTGCCTTTGGGGCCTTCGGTGGAGCTCCCTATGGGGCCACGAAGCGTGTGAGGGGTGTGCCGACATGAACACGGGGACACATGCGGCCGTTGAGTTTGGGACCTTCGGTGGAGCTCCCTCTGGGGCCACGAAACTTGTGAGGGGTGTGCGCGCGGGGACGCATGAGAGCACTGCCGCCGGGGCCTTTGGTGGAGATCCCTATGGGGCCAAGAAGCGTGTGAGCGGTGCGGCGGAGAAGGAGGCAACAGACGGAGAGGGAGGCAGAGGAGGTCAGGAAAGGATGCGGGGCGCTGCGGATTTAGAACGAGGTCCCAACACCAACAGATGGCCGGGAAACTTGTACAAATCAATGCTCCTGAGACCCTCTTGGGGGTCTTTTTGAAGTCTTCTTGGGGCTGCTGGCGGCGTCTTGGGCCGTCTTGAGGACATCTAGGGTGTTTTTGAAGCCTCGCCGGCGTGGAGGCGCCATTGCGGAGCTATCTCAGAAGGAATCATGGGCATTTGGGCGGCCACGAGCGGTAGGTTTGGACGCTGCGAGGGCCCTGGAGATGCCGTTGACGAGCTCGTGCCCCCTCCCCCTCATACGGTCGGGAATTTTGGCTCAGCGTGTCGTTCCGCTGGTTCTGAGCCACCACACTTCGGCGCGATACGCTATCCACCTCGTGGTCCCCGGGCATCAACGCTCCGAGCTTTTCCCAGCCTGAGCCCCGCGGAGAGTAGCGACACGCTCTCATGTTGCAAGGGGTGGCGTGTCGCTGGGGCCGCCGCCGAGACACGCTAAGCAAAACTTCCCGAATGTACTCTGGGAGCTTAGACACCAGAGGAGGGAGGAGGGGGGACAGCCAAATGTCTCACACGCCTTTTCAGCCCCAGAAGGCGGCGGTCGGCGGATATTATTTTGACAGTTCAGATGGATCACGCTTGGCTTGACACGGACCATCTTGACGTACGGAGTCTTGCGCTTCCAAGATCCAGTGGCGCACATCGTGATCAAGTGTTCAAACGTTCCCAATTTAGCCATCCCGTTGGCGAGCAGGCTAGCCAGCAGCTAACTGTGGAACATGAGCTGTCCTCTCACATTAGCCAAGCGGTTTTCTTCCCAGTGGGTTTGGAGTTGCGGTTTGGCCGTCGTCAGTCGCCAAGCGTAGGTGCTCAACACAGACAGGTTCGTGCCATCAATTAGAGACCGCAAAGTGCATGACTCTGTTGTTGCCTTCTGGACGGTGGGATCTGACAATGTACGTACCTTCTTTACTATGTTTCACATGGTTTGCCTTCGTGACCGATGGGTCACTTCTGGAATGTACTGCATGCCCATCGTGGGGACATCTTGAACGCTTGGAGTGTTGCCTCGCATAGGCCATGCATTCCAGTCGCTTTGACGTTGGAGGAGGCGGAGCCCATGCATAGCATTATCTTGCAAAGTGTGGGTCACCAAACCACTGCATTGTGTGAGGTGCGTGTTTGATGGTTTGATCCGTATTTCCTGCAATGATGCAACGCGTGTCTACTTCTCCGCGCGAGTCAGGCATACCAACAGCCAACTGCCCATTCTCAGTCTAGCCGTTGCGCGCCGTTCCGAATTATGCGTTCGATCGGTCACCTTCGCGGGCGCGAGGCACGGGGCAGGAATGACGGAGGCGGAAGAGGGCGTAGTGACGATTGAGAGGAATTAGAGAGAGAGAGAGGGGCGAGGCGTGGGACTCCACCAGGTGGCTCCCCTTCGCGATGCTCTGGGGCGTCTTCGAGCTGGTGTGCATGGAAGGGTTTACCGCAGTGCTCGCCCTCACAGCCGAGGTTCTGAGGCTTGGGTAGCCCAAGCTGGACGTGAGGGGAAGAGGTGGAGGGGGGTCGAGAGGGGACAACAGGCGGATAATAGTGGGAGCAGGGACGAGGTCAGAATGAAGGAGGGAGGGAGGAGGAGATGCAGGAGGGGGAGGTAGGAGAGAGGAGGGAGGAGGATCATGAGGAAGATGAGAAACACGAGATGGGATAGCAGGATACGTTAGTAAGGATGCAGGGTGGAACAGATATTTGGGAGGGAGGGGCGGAGTGAGGAAATGAAGGGCGGGATGGGATAGGGAGAGAGTGCGGGGGAGTGATGAGGCAGGATGAAGGCGGTACAGGGGGAGAAGAGCTTCAGGAGGAGGGGGTAGAGAGGAGGGAGAGAGGAGGGATCAATGAAGAGGACGAGAAAGCCGGGTGCAGAGAGAAGGGATGGAGGAGGGAGGGTGAGGAGGAGGCATATAGTGATAAGGAAGATGAGGAGCAAGATTAGTGGGACGGTGAATATTTGTAGAGGAAGGATGACGATGTTGATGATGATGTTGCTTCTGATGATGATGAGGGGGAGGAGGAGGAGGAGGAGGAGGAGGATGAGAATGAGGAGAATGCAGATGGTCATGATGATGAGGAGGAGCAGGAGGAGGATGAGGTCCACGGCGGCGTGGGATGATGAGGAGGTGTGTGAGCGGGAGGCGTAGGATGAGATGACGATTTGAAGCAGGACGGGGATGGGAGGACAGGGAGAGGGGGAGCGAGAGAGAGAGAGAGAGATGGAGAGAGAGAGAGAGAGGAGAAGGCGAGGGGGGCGAGGGGGAGTGGAATGAGAAGGAGGGGCAGATGAGGAAGAGGAAGGGTGATCCCCCAGCTTGAAATTGCGCTCGCACCACCCAGTACTCAACACCGTCCCCCCGGGGGGAACTCTAAAACCCCATTGCGCTCCACATCCTCCATCGCCTCCGCTTCATACCCTCCACGCCACCTTATACTCAACACCACCTTCTTTTGGGGCGCTGATTTGAAACACAATACTCTCGTCAACACCGCCATCCTTACCCACGCCGCGCGTTACTCCACGGCCCCCATCTCCTCTGCGCCGCCCAACCCTCAACGCGGTCTTGGCCAGGGGCATTTCCTCAAATGATTTTGCACCCCACAGCGTGCATCTCTTTCACGCCACCCGCTTCTCCGCAGCACCCATCTCCCCCACACAACCGAATATTCAAAGCCACCCTCCCCAGGAGTGAGTTAAATATTTCTTTCTGCTACATAACGTCCGTTTCCTCCACACCAACCACTGCTCGACAGCCTACGTCTCCTCAACGCTACCACACAGACGGCCCCCCCCCCTGGGAATGATTTAAACATTTCCTTCTGTACCACAACCTTCGTTAACTCCACCTGCTGTGCCTCCACCCCTCCTGATACTCAACACCACCCGCCCTGGGACAATGTCAAAAGAAGTTGGTACTACACAGCCTCCGGCTCCTCCGCATCACTACTCCACAGCCTCCGTCTCCTCCACACCACCCAATACTAAATGCCGTCCTCCCTGGGGGTTCCTCCGTTTCCAACAGAATACACAGATTTCCACAATTTGCGCCCCCAACACGCATCCCAAACTCCACAGTTTTTATCTCCAAGACGGTTCCTGTAGGATTTGTTTGTGCCTGCGTATATGCAAATATCTATGCTAGCCAGTGGGCACAACACATTGTGCTTCTAGCAATCGATGTTGTGCAATATATGTGGTGCTATCTATGATGTGCAACAAATGTATTTCAAAATATGTTGTGCAGTCCATGCTGTGCCATCTATGTATACATCTATGTATATATGTATATATACAGTGCAATCGATGTGGTGCAATCTATGCTGTGGAATCTATGTAGAGCAGACTTTGCTGTAAGCGGTCAAACAGCGCGCCGAATATTTGAACATCAATCGCACAACCGATGTGATACAATATATGTGGGGCAGTCTATGTGGTGTCATCTATGTGGTTCAATCCAGGTGGTGCAATCTGCGCGATGCTATTGATATTGTGCAACGTATGGCGTGCAATCGACGTGCTGGTGTAATATGTATTTATATATGTATATATACACACATATCGGAGGTTGAGTCTGACGTGAAACTGAGACCCCCCCCTACCGGGAAATCGATTTCGGTTCCGGGTTCGTGTCGTGCGTGCCGTGCGTGCGTGCGTCCAGGCGAGGCGAAGCTGCGTGGGCGGGCGAGAGGAAATCTTCCTGTGGCTGGGCCGCGGCCGGACCATGTTTCTCCTCCGGCGGCTGGTGGCCCGCGGTGTCCCGCCAGTGTCCCGCTGGTGTCCCGAAATCCTCCTGTGGCTGGGCCGCGGCCAGACCAAATGTTTCTCCTCCGGCGGCCGGTGGCCCGCGGTGTCCCGCCGGATTTGCAACCAAGGCAACCGGACGGGCCTGCAACCAAGGCAACCAACCTCATGCCTCGAGCGGTTCTGCAACCAGGGCAGCATCGGGTGGCGCCGCGAGCAGTCACTGTGGCACCGCAGCGCGCACGTTCGACCACGTCGGCTAGCGCTGAGGTGAGGTTCGCGCGATTGATTAGCGCACGCGGGGACAGCGCTTCACGACAATGTCGAGCGCGTTTCGCCAACATCGCCACATCACATCACGCTCGCGTGCACAATCACACTGCTCACTAGACTCCGCCCCACAGGCATAGTCAGAACAACACCACTTTTGCCCATTGCTGCCCCCCCAACCTCCTTATCACCCGCACGATGGTCGTATAGGTGTGTGTGTGTGTGTTTGTATATATATATATATATATATATATATATATATATATCGAAGGCCTTACGGCCGATGCCGCCGACCCTGTAGGCAGCGACGACGAAAACAATGGAGGTAGAGGAATCCAAGATGCCCTCAGATGGCTCGAAGACGGCGCCAGATGCCTGCGAGGTCGTCCGAAGACAGCACAAGAGGCCTCCTCCAGGATTCGGGAACGGCTCCAGAGAGAGCCAAGATAGGCAAAGAGCGCACTCAAGTGGCCCAAGAGGGTTCCAAGACGGCGTCAAGCGAGGTCCAAAAGCGCCCGCAGAGGCTGTCAAGAGTGCCGCCAGAGGCTGCCAAGAGAGTCTAAAAATGGCGAAAGGTCTCCAAGGAACCTTAAGATTGGCTGAAGGGACCCGAGGCGGGGGGCTGCGTATCAGAGGGGGGACCCCCCCGGGAGTTGCCCCGGGACCCCCCCCCCCCTCGGCGAAGAAGAGATGAAAAGGCCCGCAGACGGCCCCGGAGGACCAACGGAACCCCAAGACGCAGGAAGGTGAGAGGCAGGGAGCTGCGTATCCGAGGGGGGACCCCCCCAGGAGTCGGGGGGGACCCCCCCCTGGGAGTCGGGAGGGATCCCTCCCTCCGGGAGTTGCCGCGGGCCCCCCCCCCCCCCCCGGCGTGGAAGGGATCAAGGGAACGAGTGAAGGACGACGTGGTTCAATTTGTGTGTGGACTCGTGTAAGGACCCTTCGGAAAGCAGAAGAGGCGACGACGCTTTGGGGAAGACGAAAAAGCCTCTCCCACACGCCGACAGGGTCGGCGGATATTGAATTGAAAGTTGTGATATCTATGTGGATCAGACTATGTGTTGTAGACTAGATGGTGCCAGATAGGTGGTGCAACCTATGATGTGAACGATCAAAGAAGCGCACAGCATGCGCGACCTTTTTCGTGCAATGTATATGGTGCAATATGTGTGGTGCAAGATAGGCGATGCAGCACATGTGTTGTAATCGACGTTGTGCAATGTGCAATGTATGTTGTGCAGTCTCTGCGGTTATGAAATACAGGTTGTGCAATATATGTGCTGCAAGCTATGTTGTGCAACCTACGTGGTGCAATGGATGTTGTGCGGCAATCGGTGTGGTGCAGCAGATGTGGTTGCGCAATATATGTGATGCAGCCTCGGTTGTATAACGTGGCCGGTGCCGCCGGCCCTGGAAGAAGGCCCCCATGATGAAAGTGACAGCCAGAGTTGTTCGGGAAGGTTGGGACCAGACGCCTCGAAGAGTTTCCTTGAAGCCCTATGAGGTTGCCAAGCAGCGTGCAGTCAACCCGTCCGTAGCCATTTTGGCTCAGGCTCAAGTGGAGAGGACGGCGCACAGCCCCAGGGCACCGGGCGACAGCAGAAGCGGATTGCGTGCCCTCGAGAGCCATCATGAACGGCTCCAGAGGCCAGTACCAATCGCCCCCAGGCGGAATGAGCAGGCAGCAGCAGCAGCAGCAGCCACAAACACCAGGCGGCGGCGGGGGCACGATGTTCTACAACGTGGGTATGCAGCTGTCTGGTGAGATGGTAAACCAGCTGACGGTCGAGCACGCCAACGAGACCCACGGGCTGTACGAGCAGATTGTTGCTCTCCGGACCGAGCTATCCCGGACTATGGAGCTGATGCAGGGCTTTGTGAACAGGGAGAAGGCGCTCCACGAGATGGTGGACCAGCTTCAAAGCGCTTTCGCAGGCGCAACTCAGGGCGTGATGGACGCGCACGGCCAGTTCCACGCTATGTCGAAGGATGGCTCGATGAAGCCGCCCGATCCTGTCGCCGACGCCCAGGCGGAGCTGCAGAGGATCAAGCAGATCCTCTCGACGCCCGCGATCCCGGCCCCGGATGTGCCGCCACACTTGCAGCAGCTCGTCCGCTGAGCGCGCGCAGCTCGCTGGTCCCTGCGGCGGCGATGTGGACGGAGGAGGAGGAGGAGGAGGAGGAGGAGGAGAAGGAGGAGGAGTGAGGGGAGGAGGAAGAGGAGGATCCCCACGGGTGCGTGCCCTCCGCGTCGCGGTCGGTGTCATTGCAAAGCGCTGGCGCCTCGCTGACAGAACGCGGCACGGGCCATTCACAGGCCATTCATGGCCTGCGCCGCCAAGGCCCCTCATACCTTCGTGCCTCCCCATCCAGAGTGGCCACCTCTATGCGCAAGCACTGGTTCTGGTCAGGCTCGTGGGCCAAGGGCCGGTGTGTGTCTGCCATGCACGTGTTGGG